TTCTCCGTGGAGCTGAAGGCCCAGGCGGGCCGCTTCTCCGTGCAGTTGCCTGCCTCTTGTGGCAGCGCACATGCCTCTGTGTCGTGCAAGGTTAGTGCTCCCTTATTACCATGCTTAGATCAAATTTGTAAGAATGTAATTTTATTTAAGAAATCAATGCAGACGCTCTATTTAAATTACGAATATGATGCAAAAAGTTTACGTTTCAGCCGAATGTACTCTTGTCTTTTTACTATTACTGTTGGCGTCTGTACGAGAAACGTTTAGATCTTTGCATGTTAATAAAAGATTTTTATGATCCGTGTCAACTAACTACGGTGAATCAACGTTCTACAGTGCAAGCCACCACCCTGTGAAAACCTCAGTCCTTAGTTTAGATAAGTAATAATTAAAGTTTTAAGTCTACCATTCTCATGCACCCGTTACCCAGTTATTCAATACTAGCATAATGTAGATTACGGATAAGTTAAAAATCTTCAAACTTATTTTTAATAATCTGTTAAGTATACCCAATTCTTTAAATATTGGCTATAAGTTTGAACAGAGGAGAGCGAGAGCCCCCGGTGCACTCACGTATGGGCGAGCCGGGCGGCGCGCAGCGCAGCAGGCAGGCGGCCTCGGAGCCGAAGCGGTTGGCGTTGCCGCCGCAGCCGCCCCACGTGAACTGCTCGCAGCGCCGCGCGCCGCTGAAGGCCCAGCGCACGTAGTTGCCGGCGCACGGGCCCGGCTCCACCGCCAGCGCGCACTGGTCTGCGCAACACGACAACGTCTTACTCATACTTGATTAACTTATGCTCATAAAATATTTTCGATAATAATCATTTTAATTTCATGATAATATTTCAAGTTTCAAAGTGGTACTGGTGACATGAAGGCTGAGGAGTAAAACAAGAGAAGAAAGTCATAAAAGTTAGAGGATGTAGATATGAATGGGGTTGGATGAAGATTGTAGAAGTCGAGTTATACTAAGGAAAGTGTGGATTGACTGTGCTAAAGGTTTGTGTTGAGATGACAGCTGGTAGAGGGAAGTGGAACAAGAAAACATGTTGTACCGACCCTGCATAGCGTGGCTAAAGACAAGGAGAAAAAGCATAATAATTAAATTACGTAATTATATGCTCAACAATTAATTTCCATAGAGATTCGTGAGAGTACGTCTTCTATAAGTAACCGTTAGAATAGAAAATACCTCCATTTTTATCTATTACTGTACGAGTATCTTAGGTACTTTTACCTTCAGTCCTCTGCGGCTCACAGCGTTTCTGACATAGCTCCTTAGACTCGAAGTTGTTGTCGTTGCCGAGACAGCCGCCGTACACGAATTGCGAGCACTGCTCGCGGCCGGAGTCATAGTACCAGCGGACGTTGTAACCGGTGCATGCCCCCTTCACTTTAGGTAACTGGCAAGCGTCTGTTTAAAATACATTTAATAATAATATTTTTAACTTATATGGAGATATCGATACAAGATTAGTGATATACATATAATATTATATATGACAGAGAAAACTCATTACAAAAACATTATTATAAGAAGAAACAAACAGTATGAATATCCTTATGCAACTATTTTAATAAAAATAAAAAAAATATATAGTGGATGTGAAATTGATGTATCTATTAGTAGGTGTATCGGTAAGTTTCATTGAATTTCTAGAACTCGAACTTACCCTTAGGCGCTGGATGCACGCAGACGTCCTCGCACTCGGCCTGGCTGAGAAACCTGTTGCCGTTGCCCTCGCAGCCGCTGTACCAGAAGCGCGAGCAGCCGCCGTACGTCATGTCGTAGTACCAGTACACGGAGTAGTTGTGGCACGAGCCGCGGTCGTTGGCGAGCGCACACGCCGCTGTGGACATTCGAGTTGCTTCAATCATTCGTATGTAGTTGGTTCAAAAAGAAAGTGTCGACTGGTGTCGTCCATGCTACACATGGCTATCCATTAACTATATGTAACTTTAGAAGACCATTATATATACAAAGTGATAATTTATCTTACGAAAATATTTAAAAGTGTTAAGATTGGATATGATTATGTAAAAATACGAACCATCGACGAAATAGTAGGTAGCAAATTAAAGTGTCAAACCTTGTCTGTTGTCGGGCACATCGGTGCAGTTGAGGAAGTTCTTGCCCTTGGCCTCGGAGACGCCGTCGGGGCAGCAGCCGTACTTGCTGGTGGAGCAGTCGCAGCCCTCGCCGGCGGGCCCGCTGGCGGGCGTGGTGTCGTCGCCGCAGCAGCCGTAGCGCGACTGCTGGCAGAGGCAGCCCTGCAGGTTGGGGCCCGTCGCCACGGTGAAGCCGTCCGGGCAGCACCCGAACTGATACGTGTGGCACGAACAGCCTTGGAGGCTCGGCCCTTCCGCCGCCGTATACCTTTCAAATATAATGTTTTATTGTTTTAATACTTTTTAGTTAGTAGCTGATGTTTTTATTTATATTCACTAGCGGCATTAGAGGGCCATAGTAGCTAGTACAGTACCAGTAGTAGCCCAGTAATTTGGTGCTCAAAAAAGAGGTGACCTATTAATTTATAAAATCACCAATTTTCAAAACTCCCGGAAAAAATTCCAGGTAAAACAACCAAAAACTGTACTATAGTTTATAAATACGTCGTTTGTTTTTCATTATTTCATTGTAACTTGTAATGTAAATAATAATATACATTTACTTAAATACCAATAGGTGTTGTTAGTATTTTATTTTTATAGATTTTATTTAAATAGAACAGAATATAAAACCTATCTGGACAGCATCCAAACTGCGAGTATTGACAGCCGCAGCCCTCGTTCTGGGGTCCGCGAGCGATGGTGACGTTGTCGGGGCAGCAGCCGAAGCGAGCGTATTGACAACCGCAGCCTGAGTGCATGCATTATTTTTTTAATATTAAATCAGGAAAAACCCTTTTAATAAATTACACAAAATATAATTAACACAACAATTTTTGTCAAAAAGTCATTTCAAAGTTGTTGTTTTAAATCTTTGAAATAAAACCTCTTCAGATTACCTTCGAGATGTGGTCCTTCAGCTGCCTTGTAGTTATCCGGGCAGCACCCGAAGGGAGCCTGCAGGCAGCAGCCCTCGCCGTCGGGCCCGTGCGCCGCGGTCTCCCCGTCCGGACAGCAGCCGTAAGCCGACGTCTTGCACGTCATTTCACAGCCTTCGAGGTTGAGCCCATGAGCTGAAGAAATAGTAAGTCAGATTATCATGCATTTGTATGTAATAAATAGTAGTATTAAAAAAGTCTCCTTTATTATCTACTATACTACTACACTATATAAGTCTCTGTTTGCTTCTTTTATTAACCTTTGGTATAGATTCATCTCATTTTTATTTAGCAAAACTACGGTTCTTACGGCACTACGATTTGAAGGCGGATTTGTATATAGATCCTCCCCAATTCTCTTTTATTTTATTTACGTATAAAAAATAACAAGTTTAGGTAAGTTTGAAATAGATTGTACTCACACATAGACACGCCGTCAGGGCAACAGCCAAATTCGGTGATGCTGCAAGGACATCCCTCGCCGTCGGGTCCCATGGCGTCGGTCTCGTTGTCATAGCAACAACCAAATTCAGAAACTTCACAGCCGGATGGCTCCGTGGTCTTGGGCGGTTGTGTTGTTGTAACTGTTCGGTGTTAAATTTATTTAGTTACAATACAAGTACAATATAAATAAAACGAGCTTTTCGGATTTATTTTAATTTTTTATCCCGACGGTTCGAATGCTTTACAGCAATAATAATCACGGGAGAGACTAAGGTTTTAGACGTTTCAAAGGCCTTTCTTACTTAGGTAGGTTAGGTAAAGGTACTATACTAGTTACAGACTTAAAATCTAAAAATCCGAAAAGATAGTTTTATTTAAAATGTCAAACATTCGCGTAAATCTAAGAAAGTATTAAGTGCAATTTATTTGATTTAGCTTGTGTAGCTTATTTGGCGTGTAAATGTAAATGGGGAGTGTCGTTGTTTAAGTCGGTTAAAAGAGACTGATTTGTTCTCTTTCGTTTAATATAAAATTAACTGAGAAATATTACCTGTATCTGGACAGCCTTCTTTTTTAGGTCCTTTAGCTTCTGTGATATTATCTTTGCAGCAGCCGTATCTGTTGGAAGTGATTAATTAATATAAATACGTTTATTGTTTTATAGGTTTTTATTTTCATATTTTCAATTCAGTATTAGCTATAAGGATTATTTATTCTGTTATACGATCAACAAAACCTCATATAAATTAAAATTATGTTTTCGGCGAACATACTATAATTCAAATAGAGGCTACTGATTAAAAATTGAACCGTGTGCTCGTGCAACTCGCTCTTTGCTCGTGCGTATTTTTTAAATAGCAGCAGCTGCTGTCGCACGCGTGCCTCGACGTCGCGTACCTGGCGGAGGCGCAGGCGGGCGGCGGCGGCGGGCAGCCCTCGCGGTCGTTGCCCTCGGCCGCGGTGGCGCCGTCGGGGCAGCAGCCGTACAGCGTGAGCGCGCAGGGCGTGCGCGGGCAGCCGCGGTCCGCCGGGCCCGTCGCCGCCGACACGCCGTCGGGGCAGCACCCGTACTTCGACTCCTGGCACGTCTCGGGGTGCGGGCAACCTGCACGTGCATATTGGAATGTGACAAAGCTGCGAGGAATAGGGAGCCTGAGCGGAGCCCTACTACAAATTAATTTTGATTTTGTTGTACTTTTTATTTAAAAAATATTAATATGTGTACTGTATTTATCTTGTGGACTATAATATATAAGACGGAATGATGTACGGGCAATAGGAGTGTACATTATTTATATTTAGGCACATTAGAAAATATACAAGAAATTTAATAATTGATTAGATGCCATGTATAAATCTTTTGACACCATTTGAGAGAATTCCTAGAACTGCTACTTACTATGCGATTAAGAAGGAAAATGCTTTTCACACGAGTGGTAGCGGAGACAGATATGTACCTACTATTATTGTCAAATTTAAAAGATTAAAAAAATAGTTACGGCGTAAAATATGAAAGCAGTAAATTATCACAAGTACCTTCGTCGAACGGCCCAGCAGCAGATGTGATTTTATCGGGACAGCAACCAAATTTACTTTTAGAGCATTTAGCAGCCTTTCTTCTAGCCTTGCAGCGACGCTTCTTAGGTGCTTCAAAGATGGTCGTCCAACCCCAGGGTGCTGGTAATTATAAATTATTATGTTTACAAAATACAAACGTTTCTCCCACCAAAGTATTGTTAAAGTATTAAGAATTATTATTTTATATTACTTTCATAAACTTTATACGTACTTGTATTTTCATCACCTTCACTGACCGATACTTCAGTCGTTGAACTACTTTCTGTCGCGGTACTACTTTCTGTGGTTTGAGTAGCTGTAAATTATATTAATTTTAATATTTATTGTGAAAATTCATTTATTAATATAAATATACAAAAGTCAGATACATATGAGCCTTACCTTCACTCGTTGAGCTCTCACTGCTGACCGATTCCGTAGTTTCGGTAGAACCAGAATTAGTTTCTGAGTATTCGGTGGTACTAAATGCACTGACTTCTGTTGAGCCTGTCTCCGTAGATACTGATACTTCTGATGTTGTGGACTCAGGAGTTGATTCTGAAGTTTCCGTTATTCCAAATTCCGTTGTACCTGATTCAGTTGTGCCGGATTCTGTTGTTTCAGATTCTGATACACTAAGCTCTGAAGCACTAGATTCAGTTGTACCAGATTCAGTAGAACTAAGTTCGGTTGCTCCTTCTGATGTACCAGATTCTGTTGTACTAGATTCTGTGGTAACGCTTTCCGATGTACTAGATTCAGATGTACTAGATTCAGATGTACTAGATTCAGATGTACTAGATTCAGATGTACTAGATTCAGATGTACTAGATTCAGATGTACTAGATTCAGATGTACTAGGTCCAGATGTACTAGATTCAGATATACTAGATTCATGTGTACTAAATTCGGATGTACTAGATTCAGATGTACTTGATTCTGTTAATTCAGATTCCGTCATACTAGATCCAGATTCTGTGGTACTAGATCCCGATTCATCAGGTTCTGTAGAACCAGATTCGGTTATACTTTCGGTAGTAGCAGCGCTGCTTGACGCTAAGGCTTCTGTTGATCCACTCTCAGATACGCTTATTTCAGTAGTAGAGAGAATCTCTTCAGAGACCGACTCAGTCGTTCCTGTAGAACCTTCCGTTGTTATATCTAAAAAAAACGACTTAAAAAGGACCACCCATTTTTTGGAGTCGCATACAAATAAAAAAAACCCACTTTGAATAAATGAGAAATAACTATTTTAAAAGAATACTGAGTGGAATAAATAGGTGGAATAGGTTTTTTTTTAATATTTATTACCAGCTTTTGCTAGACAATTTTTTATCAGACATAATAAGGCCAAATACTTAAGCTATATGTCTGAATCCACTCATTGACTAATTTAAGTTATCTATATTTTTACAAGCTTTTATTTAACTGGCAATATTTGTTTGTTCGGTTCAAATCTTGCAATTGAATTTTAAAGCAATCCTCAATCGATTGAGCTGAAATTTTGCACACACGCTTAGTTTGGATGACAATGCTGGGCTAGCTAAGTGACTTCATTCTAAATTCAATATGGCCGGCTCTCAAAGATGGCTATGTTTTTTTTATTCACCCCTGTAATATGAATATCAAATAGACGCTTGTCACGAGATTTACCTATGAAGATAAACAAAAATGCAATAATATGTAACTTGATCTTGACATAAGTAATGCTAAGAAAAAAATTATTTGTTTTTTTTATAAAATAGGTAAATCTAGCGACAAGCTTTTATATCATATAATAAAAATTGTGTAATGTAATAAATAGATGGTTTTAATTTAATGTTTATTTTTTTCTTTCTAGAGCATTTAAATAAAAACTTGTTTTTAAAAATATTTTACAGCTGTTTTACTGTATTAATTTAATTTAACTTAAAAAATGTACTGTTACTACTTACAATTTACTGTTAAAAATATTCTGTAATGGACAGACTAAAATTCTAAAAATCCACTAAACACTTTTATTTGTAACGTATTATAGCCTCGCGTCATTTTTTGTAGTTGACATAATATTTTAACTCAAATATTACCGTATATATATATATATATATATATATATATATATATATATATATATATATATATATATATATTACTAGCATTGCCCGCGACTCCACCCGCGTTCAGATGACCAAAAACCAAATTCTTATGTTTTACATATTAGTATACTCTTACATTGCAGTTTTGTATTTTTTCACAGAAATGAGATATTTTCCCGCGGTTAAAAGTATCTTGTATGTTGACCCGGATAACCAGTTATCACCATACTAAATTTCAACAAAATCCCTCCAGTGGTTTTTCTGTGATGCGGTAACAGACAGACAGTGTATCGATAATAATGTTTATTTCAATAAGATTTTCAAAAATATTTGATTATTATATTTAACTAGAATAAAAATTTATTTTTACCTTCACTTGCAGTTGATAAATCAAATGTGCTAGATCTTTCTGTAGTACTGCTAAATTCTGTGGTATCTGTTAATTCAGTAATAGTTGTTTCTGTAGATCCTGTCTCCGTTAAATCTGTTGAATCAGTTTTTGTTGATCCAGTTTTAGATGGCTCAGTTTCTGAAGACTCAGTAGCAGAACTTGTGGTCTCAGTGGTTTCTGAGTCAAGATCAGTAAGATCCGTTGTTCCTGTCTCTGCTATTGATGTTTCAGTTTCTGAAGATTCTAAGGTTGTAGGTGTAGCATAATCTGTTTCTGTAGTTTCAGTAGATCCAGTGACAGGTGACTCAGTTTCAGTACTAAAGTCAGTGACCGAAGTATCTGTCGCTTCTGATTCTGTGCCTACGTCTTTTTCAGTTCCTGTAATTTCTGTTGGTTCACTTTTGGTTACATCCGAAACGCCAGTCTTTGTAGATTTCTTTTCTGTAGTAACAGCAGTTTCTGTAGATTCCGTTACAGTTGATTCCGTTGTATCAGTATTTGTAGTTTCTGTTAACGAGGTTTCAGTAGTTACAGTAATATCAGTAGGTCCTGATTCCGTAGTAACAGTTAAGTCAGTTTCTGTACTGCCTGTCAATCCAGACTCTGTAGTCTCTGTAGACCATGTTGATTCACTAACCGTACTGTCTGTTGATTCACTTATATCATCGTATCCTGATCCCTCTACAGTAAACTTATCTAAAAGAAAAAAGGTGACGTTAATGAACCATCAATATCAATGAATAATATTAGTAATTTTACACAAATACAAAATTTGCGTAAATACCATAGTCTGTTATTGTCATTTCTGTACCAGATCCCTTAGTCTCAAGAGTTTCTTTAGGAGTGAAGTAGTCAGAAACCTGTAATATAAATTATTCTTATGATCAAACATTGTATTTATCAAAATAAACGTCTAAACGAAGTGCTATTCTAATTTTCAAGCGTATACTTGAGTAAACCTTTATGTGAAAATTAAAACCATAGTCACATCGCCAAACGTTCGTTAGCGGACATCATACGTCTTTAGAAAAGTAGTAAAGTCCTCTCAGACATTCAGGTTTCGCGATGTTATTTTTTCAATGTAATTCGAAGTTGTAATAAGTTCAAAAATGATGCACAAGTAAATCCCGTTTCTGTGGTAAAGTCATTAGAGTGGTGGCACACTGCGTGAGGGAACCTATTCAATCAAATGTTGTGAGAGTTTTGAATAAATTACATAATAAAATAAAATAAACGATAATACAGGGATGCAATTTTTTAGTGAAAAAATTATGATATTTATAATGTATAAAAATATTTCAAGTAATTAATATTTTAATAATAAAATTCCATCGCTCATTAAAAATAAATGAAAGAAATGTTTTTTTATAAATGTCTTTTTTATTAATTTATTTTTATTTTTTATTAAGTTTATTCTTAAAAATCTTTATATATATATATATATATATATATATATATATATATATATATAATTCTTCTGTATGTGTGTTTGTTAACCTACTCCTCCTAAAGGACTGGACCGATTTGGATGAAATTTTGTGTGTATATTTCAATGGGTTCCTGGATAGTTTAAAAATACAAATGGACCCAATAGGTGGCGCTGCAGTCGGTGTGCCGCTGATCATCTCCTAAACGGCAGAGACGATTTGATTGATATTGTTTGTGTATGTTCGAGTGGGTCCCTGCAAGGTTTGAATTCACAAATGGATTCAGTATGTGGCGCTGCAGTCGGTGTGTTACAAAATTTTCATAAAAGACTCCATTTTCCGAGAAATAAATTTAAATTATTCATTGAATAAAACAACAATCGATGTGTGTATGTTTCCTATCGACTCCAAAATAGCTGGAGCAATTATGATAAAATTTACAGGTAATCTTCAGATTAGCCTAGCGGGTGATCCTGTGAATTTTGTTAGCGATCGTAAGTTCGGATGCGGGTGAAGCCGCCGGTACTGCTAGTATTTATATAATAGTTTAAATAATGTTTAATTGACTACTAAATATTTATTCACTTCCGTAATCTAATGGCTCAGCTTAACCGTTTCCGTTACAAAAGTCGTAACGCCAATCTTCTTTTCCCCTCTCATGTCCGGTCTTTGTCCTAAAGAAGTTTCACTTCAACATGGATTCAATTTGCACGCATAAGTACAAAGCATTTTGCTGCGTGCCGGTGTATAATATTACAAAATGTTGTAAAACAACTGGGATCGTGAAAAGTGATACTTACTAATGTATGGAATTCATATTCGGAGGTCATAACTTCCACATTTTCTTCAGGATAGTCACCTTCATCACCTTCGCAATCCTCCTCATCGTAGTCGTCCATTATTGGAGTGGATTTTGAGTCGACCGGAAGGATGTCATCTGTATCAATATTGTTTATTCTTAATATGCAATGTATTTTGTTTTCGTGTTTTTTAATTCTATATTTAAATCATATTCATATATCGTTTGATATTCATCGATTGTCAAATTGAACACCAACCTCCGTTACAGGGCTGGGTGTTGCAGGCCTGTCTGGAGTCGAGCACGGCGAGCTCGTCGCAGTCGCCGCTTGACTCGCGCCCGCCGCTGAGGCACATCACGCGCCGGTACTGCTCGCCGCCGCCGCACTCCTCAGTGCACTACCAGTGGCCACATTTCATGTATGAATTTGTCATTTTCGAGAATCATTAATCTAGTTAACTCGTATTATAATTGACAAAGGAATAATAATTTAAATAGCCTATAACAAAACGACGATTAAGTTTAACTCTTGTAAATTTAAATTTGAAATATATACATAAAGGACGTGTGTGTACGGATACCTCTGACCAGGGCCCGGCGAACCACTTGGCGGGGCAGAGCTCGGGCGGCACGACGCACTCGCGCGTGTCGTTGTAGCGCGCGGCGGCGTCGCAGCGCGCGTCCTCCACCGCCGACACCGTCGCGCCGTCGAAGCGCCCGCAGAACACGCGACGCGTTTGCGTGCCTTTGCCGCATTCCGCTGAGCACTGGTCAAATAATGGAAGAGTAATGTTATCCTTATCATTTTAGATACAAAGTAATAAGTTAAATTATATTATTCTCTTGGAATCCTATAAGGAGGTATAGTTTGTGTGATTATGAATTTGTGAAGTTGTAGGGGGTTATCTCTGGATCTACTGAACCGATTTAGATGTAACTTGGTAAGAAGATAGTTTATGACCTTGGGAAGAACATGAAATACTTTTTATTCCGGAAATCTTCCCTTAAGGGGGTGAAAATGGGGATGAAAGTTTGTATGGGGAATCAAGTTAGGGACGAATCCGAGCGAAGCGAGGGTGAATCGCTAGTGTTCTTATAACCTGTTGTAACAATAGCTGCCGAAGTTTAAAATTCTTATCTGACGTGAAAATGATTGTATGGATAATACAGTCATTACCGGATGTACTTATTTATACGTTGATCGATGAAGATAATATAGTATTAAATTAAATGATTAAAAGGTTCTAAGCTTAAGCTGTGACTAGTAGTAGTACTAGTAGCTAGGTGTATAATGTATAGTAATCAGTAGCACATACCTTGCCCCACTGCGTGGCGTACCAGAGCGTCTGGCAGGCGGGCAGCGCAGCGCGGTCGCAGGGCTCGCGCAGGCGCGGCGCGCGGTGGTACGCGCACAGCTCCGGCGCCACCACGCGGCGCTCGCGGGTGGCGCAGTGCGCCGTGCGCGTGCGCTCCGTCGACAGGCACGTGTCGCACTGCGCGGTACGCACGACACAAACAATACTTAAATACTTTGATTTAGATATTTCATATTTCAAATACAACTATTTTTTTCGAACTTTTCGCGGATTTATTGTAATTTGTGATTCTCGGCGTTTCAAATACTTTACACTTTTTAAAAAACCCAATTCAATTCAAAATAGATCTAAGCTTTACAAAAATACTAAGAAACTCGGTAAAGTGATTATTATTTAATGGAATTACACATTTTACCTTATTTATAACTTCAAAATGTCAACAAATTTTCATATAGGAGCAGAGAGGAGACGATGTATTTTGAAAATCCAGTATAAATTCGAATATTTACCCCACTCCAATCGCTGAGCACCCAGTCGACTCCATCGCAAGGGTGCAGAATGCAACTCTTCTCTGAGGCGGGTTTCTCTTCGGTACAGAACTCGTCACTGTAAAGCTCTACACGACCGTTGATTTTTTGGTGACAAATCACCAGACGGGTTTGTTTCCCTTCCCCACATAACTTGTCACACTAAGATGAAACAGATAAGTAACAATATGAATGATTAATTTGTGAAACTATTTAGAACGCAACGGATCGGCAATCTACAATTTAATATTGCCTCTAAATCTAAAAAAAAATTTTTTTTGTTACAGATATTATTTGAGATCAGTAAGAACACTATAAGCGGATGAGCTGCACCTTTCATATTTAGTGAGTGTATGCTCCAATGAGAAACAACTCTTGATTTAGATGCAGCCGTTTAAATTTATTAAGTATATTGAATGAAAAGTAAATAACTGTTACATAAAAGATATGGAAGATTTAATACAATGAAAATATCACAGAAAACTGAATAGTTTGGTATTTACGTGTTATGTGGTTTTAGTAAAATGTCTATAAGCTAACCGGTTTCCAGGGCTCAGTGAACCAAGTGGGGCAGGTCGCGTTGCGGTTGCACTCCTCAAACAGCTCGGGCTTGGGCCCCAGCAGGTCGAAGCACTCCTTGTCCGCGACTACCGACGGGAATCTGAAAGTTTCCCTGCCACAATTTAATTTACGCTAGTTGCTGTCTCTTGGGCTTTATATTGAAAAGGTCATATTATTGCCTGTGTTAAAATTATTATTTTTTTAATCTTTATAATTTTTCATATGAGTAAAGCAAATGACCTTCTTTTCTATTACTAAATATATGTAGATAGATGAATTCAGAAAGAAATTAAGTTACAAGTTTCCTTTGAAACAGATTTACGACCATCTTCAAAATTTTGTAATAATATTGTTAATATGTATTTCAATTAACATATAACTTACCAATGCGAGACCAAATGTAATTGTTAATTGGTATTTTAATACATATTTTAATTAATATGTTTGAACGAGCCGAAGGTACTCGGTACTAAATTAGGTATGCGACTTAAACATTAGCGAAAAATAGTGATTTAGTTTACTTATTTAAGTATTTATGTATCATATTTAAGGTATTTATGCTACAATATTTATATAAATACATAGGACAATTCATTTTTTAAAGAGATGTTTTGCAACCTTTTATTGTCTATATCGAAAAATGCATTAGTATCAGCAACAATTTTATGCAATTTGCCAAAACAATTGGTACGGATGGTATCAGAGATCCCTCTGCGATGTAGGCGTGCTGATGCCGGCATTACCCGTTAGTGATGACCTTCTCGCAGTGCACGTTGCGCGAGCGCGAGCCGCCGGCGCCGCAGGGGCGCGAGCACGGGCCCCAGGCGCCGCGCACCCACGCCGGCGCGCACGCCGCCGCCGCGCACACCTGCTCGCGCGCCGGCCGCAGCGCCGCGTCGCACAGCCGCTCCTCCGCCGCCTCCAGCGAGTCGCGCGCGCGGCACGTCACTTGCCGTGTCTGCACGCCTGCGGGGTGCGACACACTTAGCATACCATTCTAAACTTCTCGTACTTTAACACATATATTAGTCTTCCAAACGAACGCCTACGGATTTATACTTAAAATGCATAAATAGAAGCTGAGAGCTCAGTCAAGAAATTCTCAGTAATAGGCCGGAGTTGGAAAGTTAGCGGTGTTTCACCCTTGTGCTTCGAAGAGCATGTAAGCCGTTGGTCCTTTGCTTAATCTCTTACCAACGACACAAACAATAATAGTTCTAATTAAAAAATGTGACATAGTAACCTCCACCGCAAGTGGCGTTGCAAGGCGAGAACTCTTCGTGCACCCACACGTACTGTTGGCTGGGCGGCGGCGCCAGGGCGGACGGCACGCTGTACTCGTACTCTACGCCCACGTTGTCGTCTTGCAGCAGCAGCTGTGCAATAATTTTGGCATGGCATGGCGAAAATGGCAAAATAAGTCGGATTTCATTAATTAATAATAATGTAGAGAATTAATATATAATCATTCTAATAATTAATACGTAATATTCTTTAATATTTGAACAAAAAAGAATATTAAACTTGATTTGATGGGCTAGAGATCTAAAAATGAGACTCACAGACAAATAAAGCGGTTCGTTGATGGGTCCGAGGCAGCGCAGCTTGTCGGGCGCGGCGAGCCCCTGCTGGCTGCGCTCGTAGTACCACAGCGCGCCGGCGATGCTGAGGCGCCGCGGGAAGTCGATGTGGTAGTCGCCGTTCAGGTAGTACACGTTGTCCTGCTTCGCGCGCAGCGCTGCAAGCACGTGCACGGTAACTCTGTACTCTCTCTCTTGTCAATCGTAGTTTTAATGGTTAGCTTACTTGACTGTAGATCAGGGGACTGTATTTGAATACCAAGTCGGGTTTTTAGGTCAATTATTGAGTTTTCCTGCCAAGAAAGTGTCAGTAGCGGCGCGATGCTAAGTCGATATTGATACATCCTCGAGCCTCGAATAATATGTTAGACAATCTGCCTAACTACCTGGTCACTCTCCTTTTGCCCACAGTCCCATCAAAATACGAGCAAAGGCATAAAGTTAGTTTGAGTCAGCGTACACAATTGTGCTCTACAATACCTACCGCAGAGATGGCTAATAGCAGTGAGTGAAATATTACGATAAAATATTCCTAGAATAACGGTTAGATGCGTGTAGACCTCTGTAGTTGTAAATAAGAATATTAAAAAAAAATAAGTGTTATTAATGTTGTTCTACTCGTATATTTAAATTAGATAAGTACATGTATAAAACCTGCTGATCTTCGATTACAGCTTTGTTATAGGGGTTTTATGAATAAAAAGCTTACCCAAGTAATTGTTCGACTCTCTGACTTCTGCAATTATTATATTTGTAGCCCCTTCAGGTATGAGGAGAACATCGTTGTATCCTGAAAATAAAATGTATACAAAGTGATCATTTGTAAAATCTCGAGTAGATTTTATTAATATTTCTATATACAAATATTTGTATGACATAAGGGAAATAAAATTTTTAATTAATCAATTAACTTTATTATGTTAAATTGTATTATAAAATGTAAAATTGCGCCTACTAATAAATTATAAGAGTAGTAGTACCTTTTCTATAATCTTGTGAGTCGAGAATTCCTTTGGTAGTGTAGCAGTTGGTGCCGTTGCCGCGGCAGCGCCGGCACTTGTCCTCGCGCGAGTTCGAGCCCAGCATCATGTCACAACCGACGGGCTGGGATTGGATTAATAAAAGTAAATACATCTTCATCTCTACAAGACTTATCACCTATCTGATACGATCAAATTAAATCAATAGATGCATCCGCAAGCATCATTCATACAAAATACTAGAGATATTTATGCAGATTTAACTATCTCTCTCTCTCTCTCTCTTTCTCTGTCTCGATTTGAAAGAGAACGATGTTAAATGCTGTGCCTGGGATTCAATTTAGGAAGTGCAAGTTTTCCCGTTTTTTCGTTTTTGTCTTACGGGGGTCCACTTCGAATACTTCAGTCATCTTTTACGACACCTGGTACTTAAGGAGGGTAACACTCTATTCTGCCGGTGTGAAGTGTGAAAAAGAACACATAATTGCCGATATAGTCTTTCCAATTATTAATTTATTATTATTATTGTTTATCAATTCGACAACAAACAGATCACCTGACAGACTCCATCCACGCACACGTCGAAGGACTCGTCGTTGCAGCGCGTGCCGTCCGTCACCTTCAGCTGCTGGCGGTAGTAGAAGCGCTCCCCGCGCGGCATGCAGTTCAGCTCGCAAGGGTTCGGCCCCTTCGTGTACGGCACCCAACTACGCACAAATGCTCTCTTTTACGTAACACTAAAGAAATATGTAACAACTAACAAAGCATTAAAGGAGGATTTAAAAAAAATCGTCCCCAAAAGAGAAGAATCTAATAAGCGTGAAAAATAACATTAAAGTTAATCATGTTTGTTGTTGTTGAAGTTGAATCTATACATATAATAAAATTGTAACTAAGCTGAATCTGTACAATAAATATTTTATGAAAAATCTTATTGAAATAGACATTACTAACGATACAGAGGCGGAATCCATAGTTTTTAGAAATTATGTCTGTCTGTCTGTCTGTTACCGAATCACGGAAAACCACTGGATGGATTTTGAGATATTTAGATGATAGTGGGTTATCCGGGTCAACATATAGGATACTTTTTACTTCTTCTTCTTCTTTGTCCTCGCCTTATCCCGTTACGTGGGGTCAGCTTTCCTTATCATGCGACGCCACGTAGATCGTGTGTTCGCGTCCTCGTCGGTGAGGCCGAGGCATTTCAAGTCCCTCTGGACAGTCGTCATCCAAGTAGCTTGGGGTCTTCCCCTGCCCCTCTTTCTTGTTGCAATGGAAAGGCACTTTTTCACCACGTAATCGTTGGGCCTACGCATTACGTGTCCATACCATCTGAGCCTTGATTCTAATATTTTGTCGGTTATGGGTGCAACTTTAAAACTTCCTCTTATATATTCGTTACGTACTTTGTCTTTAAGTGTTACTCCTCCCGCCCATCTTAGCATACGCATTTCGGTGGTGTGTAGCTTCTGTTCATGAATCTTTTTGGTTGCCCAAACCTCGCTGCCGTACAGTAGTGTTGGTCGTACTGCCGTTTTATACACCTTGCCTTTAGTTTTTATTGGCATTTTAGCGTCACATAGTACCCCTGTGAGAGTGCGCCACTTCGTCCATCCCGATGTCATTCTTTGTGTTATGTCCGCTTCAATAGAACCATCTTCGGAAAGAACGGATCCTAGATACTTGAATGTTTTAACTCTAGGGATGGCCGTGCCACCCAGTGTGATGCCCGAGTCAAGTGAAGCGCTGGGGTTGAAGTTACAGAACATATACTCGGTTTTTGTCCTGCTAATGCGTAAGCCATTTTGTTCCAGCGACTCTCTCCATTTCTCTAAGTCTTCCTGTAGCTTCAGCACACTGTCAGATATAAGAACTACGTCGTCCGCATACAACAGATTCCACGGAGTTGGTTTTTGAATTTTTGCCGTCAGATAGTTCATGACTACATTAAATAGCAGAGGGCTCAGTGCACTGCCTTGATGAACGCCAACTTTTATGTCAAAGCTGTCAGATAGACCTGCCGAGCTCCTGACGCAGGCTTGGACGTTGTTGTACATGTCCTTAATGAGGCGTATATAGTGTTCAGGTATGTTATGCGCCCTAAGTGCCTGCCATATCACAGTCCTTGGTACTCTGTCAAAAGCTTTTTCTAGGTCTATAAATACCATCCACAGGTTTTGGTCGTTTTCTTTAGCTTTTTCCATTACCAGTCTTACAGCATGGATTGCATCCATGGTTCCCTTTCCCGCTGTGAAACCAAACTGGTTTTCCGTTAGGGAGATTAAAGATGCTAGGCGTTCACTGAGCACTCGTTCCCAGATTTTAAGGGTGTGTGAAGTGAGTTTTATCCCCCGGAAGTTCCCGCACTCTCTAACGTCTCCCTTATTTTTGTAAAAGGGGACAAGTATGCTTTTTCTCCAAGCATCTGGCATTTTTTCAGCTGTTAAGATGTTATTAAACAAATTAGTTAGCCATATTTTCCCGTCCACCTTCAAGGACTTCCACAGTTCAGCTGGAATGTCATCAGGCCCGCAGGCTTTGTGATTTTTCATTTTCAGAATAGCCTTTTCGACTTCCGTTATGGTGATTTGATTTACGGGTCCTTGTGTTATTGGTTCTTCGATTTCAGCCTGTCTGGGGAACTCCTCATTGAGCAATGTATGGTAATACTCGTACCACCTTTTACAAATATCTTTATCAGATGTTAGCAGCATGCCTTTGCTGTTTTTGATGTACTTTGTAATTCTAAAGTCCTTAGTGCTATTATGCCTGTGCTTCGCTATTCTATATATCTGTGTGTCCGAAGCCAGTTCTAGTTGCCGATAAAGGTCAAGGTCTGCATGTTCCTTCTCAATTGCAACTGATCTTCTTGCAATCTTTTTAGCCTGTTTGTACTCTACCTTATCCTCCTCTGAGCCACTCTCTTGCCATTTCTTGAACAGACGTTTCTTTTCAGACACTGTAGCTTTGGTGTTTCCACCATTTGGCATCTTTCTCGTTATGCAGGGGACCCTTGGAGATACCCAGTGTAGATTTCGCTTGAGCAATACAGGCATCCTGAAATTTAGACCAGATTATTGTAGGAGAGTCGTCTGATGAGAAGTCGTTGCTCAAGTACTCTAAGACTTTATTCTTGAAATTGCTTCCCTTTTCCGAATTAAGTTCCTGCCATTTAATCCTATCTATTCTTGGTATTTTATATTTAATTTGTCGTTTGAGTTTTAAAGCTGCTAATAGTAATCTATGTTGTGATGTTAAAGGTTCGCCTGGAATAACTTTACAATCTTTAATATGTTTGAGATTCTTTCTATCTGTCATTATATAGTCGATTTGTGTTTTGGATTTCCCACTTTTATAAGTAATGAGGTGTTCCTCTTTCTTTTGAAAAATGTGTTTACTATTGCTAGATTTAGAGACGCTGCAAATTCCAATATTGTGGTTCCTTCTTTGTTTCGTGTTCCATACCCAAAACCCCCATGATGACCCTCAAACCTATCTACGCCACTGCCCACATACCCATTAAGATCTCCGCAGATAATTCGTTGCTCAGTCACAGGTATAGCATTCATGTGTGTACACAGTTCTTCCCAGAAGTCTTGTTTCTCTGTTTCAGGGCAGCCGACCTGGGGCGCGTAGACACAAACAATATTGAGGCAGGTTTGGTTCTCCAAGGCTAGTTTTACAGATATGATGCGGTCACTCGCTCTATTTATTTCTATTACCTTTTGGCTCAGATGTTGATCTAGAATAATCCCGACCCCATTTTTCCCATTTTCAGTACCGTAGTATATGAGTTTAAAGCCCTTCCCGATTTGTCGTGATTTTGCACCCTTCCATTTTGTCTCTTGCACACAACAGATGTTGATGCGACGTCGTTCTAAGATGGCGCTTAATTCAGCGCTGCGTCCTGTCATCGTGCCAATGTTCCAGCTAGCAATACGTAGTTCGGACATTGTCACGGTGCCTTGCTGTTTTGCTCTTCCGTCGCTTTTGGGGGACGCCCTAGCATATTTCGCAGTTTTATCATCTCCGACGTCGCTTAAGGGGAACGCCCTAGTATTCCTCGTGTTCCTTACGTGTTGTCTTTTCATGATAAGTATGGTTGTTGGCTTCTGTTTTACAGCCGGTTGCCACCTGACGCCAAGGATGTAACCCACTACGGGGCTTGGGCGCCGCCGTTGGTCCTCTAGGAACTCATCCGCCGCCATCCCTACCGAGTACTCCATCCTGAGCACCCAGCACGCACGTAGTCTCTACTTCGAGTATGTCGAAGAAGCCTGCGTGTGGGGTTTGATAACGGAGAATCCATCTCCGGCCTTGTGGTCCGCGGGAGGTATTTTATTTCCCTCCTACCCTATGGAGGATTGACCCCCATCGGGCATCCCCCTATCCGCCACCTGGGGACGCGTCCTCTAGGGAATCAGGCTACCCCGAGGATACTTTTTACTGCGGGAAAAAATTCCTTTCTCTGAGAAATCTATACTAAACGCTAAAATGTAAGTAGGGACGAACACAAACATAGCGAGGGTGAATCGCTAGTATCTAATAAAAACATTGATGTTTAATCAATATATTAGTCTGGATAACTATTTATTTAATATATATTTTATGTAACTATTAATTTTATAAAATACAACAAATTGTATTGTTCTAAAGTTTTATTAAGAGCACATCAATTATCTTTATTAGTTTTATAATCATGGAAGACAGATACTTTTAAAATTTCACTTTCACACCAAATTATTAGCGAATAAAATAAGTATAATATTATTAGTCCATAAACCATTTTAAAGAAACACTACTTACTTGTACTTCTGATCTCTGAAGGTCTTGTTGTCGTACGCAGCGCATTGCTCCGCGCGGAAGTCTCCAGAGCCTTCGGGGCAGTCTTGCGTTTGACAGGAGAAATATTTGGTGTCGCCTCCCGTGCACAGGGGCTGGCCGTCTGAACTGTAATAGAAGGATTTTTAAAATATACAATTAAATGTTGTAATTTAACAATTCATTCTACTTTATTTATTTTAAATACCTATGATTTACTATAAAGTTAAATATAATTATTACACTATAAAAAGTCAGATTTTTCAATGAAACTTTAAGACATTTCGCTACACTTTATTTTATTAAGTAGGTACCCGATCATGTCGGTTCGCTGTTCCATCAGACTAAGAGTGGAGGAATAGAAAAGGCTCCTATGCGCAGACACACACTTCTACACTATTATATCTAACGTCATGGCCAGACTTCTCACTAGTTAAGTTATAGTCAAAGATCCGAGAACACTTTCATCTTCAGTCAAAAGGGTTGAAAAAACTATAATAAATAAAGAATAAATCGCAGAAGTTTCCTAGGCAGATATGGTCCAGGCTATCTTTACTTAACATTAGTTTGGAACAATTTATTGAGGAAGGATGACTCGGGACCCTAAACTTTTTTACCAACTCGGGGCCCTCGCATTTCTAAATCTAGCCAGTGTCACGCGATAGTTTTTCTTATTAAGATTTGTTGCCATGACCAAGGCTCGATTAGATGTACAATGTACATTGAACATACTATTAGATTAATATAAAAATTAAGCTATTTACGTAAACGTACCCAACTTCCAAACATATTCTTTTCTGGCTAGCGACACCACCCCCACAGGTTCTGGAGCAAGGGGACACTTCACCCCACTCGCCCCACGCTCCGCTCCCCTCTCCACCAGGTACAATGTATGAAGCTGATAAGAACAGTCCTGCGCCCTGCCGCCTGTGCCTGCTACGATGACCATTTACCTACAAAAAGCATGTTTCAATCACAATATGTCATCTCACGTGATTTATAAAAATATGACTAATTTAACAAATGACATTTAGTACCTAGATGTTTCTAACAATAAGAAATCCAAATTGATTTGGTACATTATAAATTAAATAGAAGTTAATTTCTAAGTATGTAGGAGTCCTTATATATATAATGCAGATCACCATAGGAACCATTTGTTGGTTGATAAAATGTTGTGATGATAAACAACTCGTTAAGTACAGTACGGATGCGAGCATGTTGCGGACACACTTGAGCACGAGTGTTTGCGCTTGCGCATCGAGGGCGACGCTTTATTTGCTTAGCCAGAAGTACGTTTATTTAGATTTAGAAAATTGTAAACATCTTTCGTTTCTAATAAATTCTATTATGTTGTAACCAAATTATCTAATAAATATTACAAATTTAACAAATTATAAGATAGTTTTGATTGAACTATATACTATGTGTCTGGTTGTAGTGAAAAATTAGCATCCAGAACGTATTGATCATCACTATATAGAAGATAAAGTCCAGTAAAGTAGTACCTACAATGATTTATTCTTTTTCTTACAAGAAATGAATATAAAGCTACAAAATCACCATACATATGTATACCTCAAGCTTATACTATCATATATGTATGTATGCACCTGTGATGACTTATAATATGAACGGTAACGGCTCACTAATGTCACATTGTAGACCTCCCTGCTTGTAAAACAATAGACTATCATCATTATAATTCCATAGTAATTCGGTGTCAAATCCAAAAAAAAATTTGACCTGATCGTCTAGCAGTCGCGTCGTCATGAAGCTAACGTACTTAGGAGGACCTACATATAGACGTAGCGATCTACGACGTTAGATTTTGAGCTCTTGTACTCCTTTACATTAAGTCGTTGAATGATATAAAATATATTAAAATTAAAGTAAAGCTGTCATCTTTGCATTTGTACTCGTATATCAATTATTTATGATCTAGGACTTGATGAAACACAATTGAAATCAATTTAATTATTAAGTACTAACTGAATTTTATTGATATATGAAAGGAATCGATTAGAATAGGTATATCAAGTAGTAGCAGATGTGCAATTTGTGTGATGTTTTTATAACGAGCATGTCGCATATATTGGCTACTTTCAATTTTATTAATATTTATCGTTATTATAGTCAAGGCTAAAATTGCCCCCAGTTCAATGTACTGTCTATGACAGTTAAACTATTGACTAAAATTAAATGGGATCCAGACATCGGGAAGTTTAAATATGAAATTTGAGAATATTACATGAAAAAAGATTATCAATATTCAATATAAGTCGTAGCATACTTACATTATGTGTGTAGTGATGTCTGCATGTAGTCCATGTGATATAATTACTTAAAAAGATGGCTGCTAAAAGCAGCGATCTGAAAGTAAATAAAGAGAATGTTAAAAAAATTATATTTAGTTAACTTACGAAAATATGTACGTACTGTTATTATCCTAAAATGTAGATGGATGAAGATGAAGAGGAGAACGAAAAAAAGAAGGATAGATTGTATAAGACAGGACATGAAAGAGAGATGGTTGAATGATGACATGACGAGTAATAGGGGAGAGTGGGAAAGGTAAACTTCCTGCGCCGACTACAAGTAATTTGGGAAATGGACAATATTTTAGGTAACATGTCATATCTATCAACTTTTTCTATTTAGAGTCGATGCACATTATAGAACCGATCAAAGTTCTATATGGTAGTAAAAATACCGGAACTGGAGTGTTCGGTGTAGACTATACCATGGATGGCGGCAGAAATATTTTTAGGGGAATGCGTCCACCTTTTCACATTAAAGTACTAACTTAAACTTTTTCTTCAAATGATTAACTTTATTCTTTTTATTAATATCTTATTTATCATCTATTTTCGCAAATATCTAAATTTAAATAGTGATTATACTTATATAAATTTATATCTTTAACTTTTTTTATATCTTTACCGTGCAAGATACCCCCTTGCACCGGAGCCCATGGGCTATACCATATAGTTAAAGTATGAATGTACGTTTGTTTGTGTTCGACACTTATATCTTAAGTATAAACGAGTGTATAAAGTTTCAAGTGGAACTAGAAATCGGAGATAATTTAACTGAGATAAGTAAATGTTGATGTTATCACTCGCCAGACATCTAACAACACTTTAGAAATCCAATTATACGTTGTAATAGTGGATATAATTCCAAATCGAAACATCTCTTTGCGCTTCTTATCAAGTAAGGTTTTTTACAGACGAGCTTTTGTGTTTTATAATTATTTTATGTTTTGTTTATGATTCTGAATAAAATGAATTAATTGATAAAAAAAATGTTATACCAATATCAACAATCGGAATTTAGGCTTACAATTAAATTATAATATTTTTTTCTGTAATGACTTAGAATATTTGAGCCAATCCTCCACAACAGAGTGACACCGACGTCTTCGCCATTCTGCCACAAACCGCGGGAAAACAGAAATGCTCAACAATTTTTATTTCTTTTTAATGTAGCTGTATCGACTATCGACCAAGATTGCATACACAATGACAAAGGTTTTATATCAACTCATAAATCAAACATAGGTACTACTTATTTTACTTTTCAAAATAAAAAAAATACGAATGATAAATATTAATAAATTTTACTTATTATTTTTTAATACTAGAAAATTGAACTGAACTATACCAATTATTTAATATTTGCATATATTAATTTGCTTGAATTGTGTGTATTGTGCGAGTATTTTTGTTTTTTTTATTATTATTTAAAAATGATAATTTAAAACATAAACGTAAGCATTTGTAGCCTTATTGGAGTAGGTATATAACTTATCGTCCTCGTTAAGCCTTACCCCGATACAATGATAAATCTGTTCATAAAGGATTCAAAATACTAACTGTAAACTGCGCTGATAACATCTTTATTAGACTATGGTTTAAGCGTCGGCGGCTTTAGTTCATTTATCATTATGCTGAAATAAAGGCCCTGCAGTAGGTACTAATACATTTTATGTAGACTACCTACATTCAGTCCGTCATCATGTAAAGAAAGCACATTCGAAAATTGGAATTGTTAATATCTAGAATATTAAGTAAAGTCGTGACCGTGAAAGCAGGATAAATTTAAAAGCACTTGTCACGTTCGTATTTATAATATCAGTAAGTATAAGTATTAATACATAACAATGACATAAATTAGGACAGATGGCTTCGTTCCCAAAGTTTATTACTTAAGCCAATATTTTGTATTAGAAACTTAAGTCACGTCCTGCGGGATGAACTCGTTTGAGATGAAAAAAGAGACTTAATTACCAGCCGTGACTCAATATATATTTGTTAATAATATATAGTTAGGTAATTTGTGAAACATTTAATATGATTAACAGGGCTACGTAATATTTTCTACGCAAAATACCTAGGTTTTCTATCACCACAGTATTAATTTTTCTTCACATTTCATTAGATATAAAGATCTTCCTAACTGAGTTCGGTCAGGCCCAATCCCACTGGGATAGGCCATCTGCACAGGAGACAAATTATAGCGCGCAAGTAAATTCCTGTCACTGTCATACTCTGGTGGGACGACAATTCGGCACGACTGGTGAGAAATCAAGCGCAGGAGTCGGCAGAACCGATAGGTTTATAAGCTCTCCGAGACAAGGGAGTGCAACATTGCCACTTCTCAAATCCGAACTGCTGGAAAAGGTTGCCTGGAAGAGATCGCTCACTTAACAATAAGGCCGCCTGTTGTGCTATTTCTTTTTTAATCACTACATATCTTTATATATATAATTCTTCTGTGAGTGTGTATGTCACTGAACTTCTCTCAAACGACTGGAACGATTTTGATGAAATTTTTTGTGTGTGTTCAAGGGGATCTGGAAATGGTTTAGATTCACAATTTGAATAATAATTTTCATCAAAAAAATTATTAAAAAATGTTTGAAATTTTCAAATTAAAGACGTGTAGACAGGACAACGTCTGTCGGGTCCGCTAGTGTATTATAAAACAAAGTCCTCCACCGAGTCTGTCTGTCTGTTCGCGATAAACTCAAAAACTACTGCACCGATTTTCATGCTATTTTCACCAATGGACAGAGTGGTTTTCGAGGAAGGTTTTAGTATATAATTTGTTAAGTTTTTATATACATTCGCTAAAGTATAACGATATTCGTTGGAGGTGTCGTAAAGAATAAGCCGCCTGGGAGCTTTCAACGAAAACTCTGCCTTTGAAATATGTATAACAAAATAATGTATGGTGAAATTGTGTATCTTATAGGTCTACAGAAAAGGCATATATATGTCTATCTCTTAAGGATAACACACTATATCAATACAATTATAATACTTACCTACTTTCCCATACCTATGTATGTACATTGCATGTGTATAGTCTATTCTATATTTTATTACCTTTAAAACGTACCTAGGGACGAACCCGAGCGAAGCGAGGGTGAGTCGCTAGTATAACATGAGTCGCTAATATAGTATAATACACTAACGACTCGAACCCAGTACATCTGGATACGGAGTCGTACATGCTACCACCAAGGCAGTTTACGCTAGGAAGTATAAAAGCGTATTTCATTTTTATATTTAATGTAAATACTAAGCCTATGTCGGAGCTGACGATCTCTTACTCAATGCAGTCATACAGCTTGCAGCGACATCAGGCTCTAAAATTGTACAGGTATTATAAAGTAAATCCTCAATCCTTACAGTTGTACAATTTCTCATATAAGTTATGTTACGTCCAAATCCAGTCCAAAACAATTATTTTTGAGGTAATCTGATCAAGCTTATGCTTGTATGTACTGCCATCGATTAAGGATGATTTAAATAGATACATAATATAATCGATATAATAAACCTTGGACTCCCAAAATTAATTCAACCTGACCTTAATGTAAAGCATATTTTAAGACTGTGATGTAACCTGAATAATTTAGACATTACAATGCAAATCTGGTTGCTGCATCGAATTCGATATAGGAATCTTATATGCAATTGACGTATTCATATTTAATTAGAATTAAAAATGCAGGTCAACGCGTAACCAAAACAATATGTCATCGTCAAAAATGATATTGCCAGTTACAATGTTATAATGGAACATTATTTTGATATTATATAGAACTAGCATTGCCCGCGGCTCCGCTCGCGTTCAGATGACCAAAAACCTAATTCTTAGGTTTTACATGTTAGTATACTCTTACATTACAGTTTTTGTATTTTTTCTCAGAAATGAGATATTTTCCCGCGGTAAGAAGTATCCTACATGTTGACCCGGATAACCGGCTATCATCATACCAAATTTCATCAAAATCTATCCAGTGGTTTTCCCGTGATGCGGTAACATACAGACAGACATACAGATAGACAAAAATTCTGAAAACTGTAGATTCGGTCTCTGTATCGATAATAATGTCTAATTCAATAAGATTTTCCAAAAAATATTTAATGTACAGATTCGGCTTAGTTACAATTTTATTATATGTATAGATAATGTATCTGAACCAAAATATAAAATCTTATAAGTTTTTATATATAAAATGCTTGTGGCAGAGTACATACCTGCTCGTACGTACGTCTAAAAAATATACTTTGAGTGAAAATTCCCGAGCCACCTATAATATTAAATCCAGATCTCTGATACTTATCTTTCAGCACATAAAACCGGTAATGAAGGCAAAGTTCATTCATTTAAAAGTAGGAAATTCACTACATTCTTTGAAGCTGTTAGAATTTAGAAATCATCTGCAAAAACTGAGCAAACATCAAGTGTGGAAACAAAGAGCCCATAAACTTTCAAAGGGAGCCCGAGATAGTTGTGTTAACCTTGCAATTAAACATACGGAGTAATGCTAACAAACGTTTGCATAGCTAAAAATACCTCCATCCTACCTGTGGGTATAACGGTCATTAGGTGTTTCTCAAATAGTCCCAGTGTTTGCTCAACTTCAATATTGCGATACAATATTTTGAAGAGGGATGTTGTGTTCATTGCTTACATCAGTGTTTTTTTATTTACTTGTCCGTCTTTAAACTATGATTTTTATACAGCAAATAGATGATATTTGATAATAAAATATATTATTATTTTTTGTATTAATGTTCCAAGCAAAGGGTTTCTATGGTATCTTAAACCTCACCCTTTCGTCTTTTTCGTCATCCCCAAAAAGCAATAAAAAATACTTCACTACCCTGAATGTCACCCATTCATAACTTTCCCATTCCTAACATTATTTTTTATGTTAAACAAAAGTGTTTGAAAAACTTTCAATTTGAAGCTATGTATTTAGCAACTAACTGGTAGTTAAGCAATTTAGTAGTGCATAGGTACTCGTGAATATAATATTTTAACACAACTAAACGAAGTCATGTTTAACAAATAGTTAAATTTTATATTAACGAGTGGTATTGAAATAACGAACTTGACATTACAAATAGCAGTTCCGCAGGATGGCAACCCGACACGGCCGGCGCTGGCCGACACCCGGCGTAACAGATCCGACATCCGACGCGCCTGTCAATTAGTACCAGTGGGCTGATTTATATATATTTTTCCCTTTAAGGTTTTCTTGAACAGTCCGAGTGATGACATGCATGGTTGGCACTCATTGCACTGGTGTTTACATATTAGGTGTTAAATGTAACAATAGCATTTTTTTATAATTCAAATTATTGACAATTTGAATATTTTTCAAAGTAAATTGACATAGGGTTGTACTCGTATTACCTTCATATTTAACATTACGATATTTTCATCAAAAATCGAAATTAGGTATAAAAAATTCTTTTCTTGCTACTGAAATTCATTTTGTGTTTGAAATTGAGTAATTATCATGATTCCATGTATTTTTAACAAAACAAAGACGAAATCTTTGGTTATTACTAGTTTTTATTTCATTAATTCATACTATCTCTCTCCAATCTCAAATAACAAAAAGCTTAGGTTTTTTATTTATCAATCTCATACATAATCATATAATAGT